TTTTGAAGCACTAGAAAGAACCATGAGAGATTCGTTGCGGTTCGTCAATCCATCGAGTGCACAAAACAAAACAAAAAAAAAACAAAAAACAAAAAAAAAAAAAACTTTTGGTGGAAAAACTATAGTTTTTTGTGGATAAATTTTTGACAAATACTGCCCGTGGTCCCCAAAGACACTAGACAAGATATTGTATCTGCAACCATAAATTCCTCATATCTTTGAAACAATTGTAAAGTGTTGAGGTTGACAAGCTTAAATAAGATTGACCATGGTGTTGATATAAAAGAACATGAGGATTTTGCTAATTGGATTACCGCTATCGGAGATGGAATAGTTGGTGGTCCGAACGATGGATATGCAGAGGTTGACATATCACACGATATGTTATTACCCTCTATTAGCTAGTGACCCTATTGCTACGATTGTGGAAAATACATTTCCTATGTTTAAGAATGGAAATTGTGATCTAAACTATCTTGATATCTGTGTCATATTAGCACCAACACTTAATGTGGTTAACTCCGTAAATGAGTATATGAGTGCATTGCATGTTGTTGACAACAAGACACACTTAAGTTGTGACATTATTTGTAAGTTTGATTCGAGCAATGGGATCCTGACAGATGTGCACACACCAGAATTCTTAAATGCTATAAGAGTTTCAGCTGTAACTAATCATTCATTGATGTTAAAGTTAGGTTCACCAGTAATGTTATTGAGGAACATAAACCATTCACTTGGTAAGATTGTTTATCACTCAACTTTCACAACACATCATTGAAGGAAAGATACTTTCTGTAGCATGTCAATGACACCGTTGGATCCACAATTACCATTCAAATTTCAAAGAAGACAATTCACTCTAATGTTGTCATATGCAATGACCATTAATAAGAGTTAAGGACAAACACTATCACACGTTGGATTACTACTGAAGAAACCAGTTTTTGTCCATGGTCAATTGTACGTTGCTGCTTCTCGGATTAGCAATCCAATTGGACTTAAAATATTAATTTGTAGTGATGACTCGAATGGGATTGGTACATTGACCACTAACATTGTTTACCAAGAAATTTTTAATAATTTGTAATATTAAATCATTTTATTGTAGTTCTAATAGAGTTGTGTATTTTCTCTAATTTGTCTATTTATTTATATAACATTAAAGTTTATAATTTAAACACTTTTTTTTATTGAATTCAACACTATTATTATTATATAATAACAAAAACACTTATAATATTTAGTCCGTGCATCGCACAGGTATCATGTTAGTTATCAAGATTAAACATCACTAGTTGTGTAATTTTCACTTAAATCTAACTCCCAATTATTTTAAATCTTGTGATTTTGCCCCATTGATTAATTGTATCTAAGCTCGATTAAAGTTAAAGGTATTTGTGTAATTTCGCAAGTTAAGTGGGCGATTTTTCCCCATTTGTTAATTGTATCTAAGCTCTAATAAAAGTGGAGGTATTCTTGTAATTTCCCAAGTTTAGTGGGCTAAGAAGGCAAAGAATTTCAAATTTCAATTGCATTCATGCCCACTATGGGGCTTAAACCCACAACCACAAGGTTAAGAGCCTTGCGCTCTACCAACTAAGCTAAACAAGCTTATTGTTTAAATTTTAACTGTTTTTTATATCATTCTTTACAGCAATTGGATTAGTTAATTAAGTAAAAATTATCGTTAAATTTTTTTATCCAAAAAATTATCGTTAAATTAAAGATTGACATTCACATTTGCTTTTCATACAAAAAAGGGATCTTAATGCGTGGAAGCATTTTTTTTCTCAATTCCCAGCCACCCTAACTTCAATCACACCTTTACTTTCCTCAAGCTCTATCATAAACCTCTAACATCCATAACAATGGATCAACAATATATCTATAGGGAGCTTCTCCAGTATGGATTCTATACGACATCAAATGCCCAAAATAAAAAAGTACACATTGAATACAAGGAGTTTCTCTTGTGCTAATTTGTCACCGAATTGAATGCCAAAAATAGAAAAGCATGCATTATATATATACTGATGACTCTGTTCGGCATACATCATTAATAGGGTAATATTTATTATTTTCGGTTAGAGTTTTAGGTTTATACTCCCAAAGCACAAGGTTATTAATGTTTTTTTAAACGAAGAGCAACCACATTCAAAGATCTAAAAAAGAAGAAGAGAATTTTACTATTGTATTGAAAGTAAACACTTAACCACATTCAACATCTATTTACATGTAGAGCATGAATTAGTCAGTGTGAAGGTTTCCTCTTATGGTGATGATATATTCATCTGACGGTGTTTGTTGAAGAATTAGATCACCGAAAGAATTAGAGGATGTTGTGTTCAATATAACCAAGAGTATTAGATGATGGTGTTGTTCAACTAGATGATGGTATGTTCAAATAGCTAAAGAAGTTACAAGTTTTCACAAGTGTAAGTAAATCAATAGTTTGAACTTATAATAGAAGGGTTTTATGGATATTTTTGGCGCTTGCATTGTATTCATTATTGGCTGAAAGTGTCATTAGGCATAGAATATTGGGAAAGTTACGGTTTTAATCCATTAGTTACACCTAAATTGTAGACTCAATTCATGAATTATTACCCTATACAAATTTTCTTCTTTAATTATGTTGAAGGTGACATTTCCAATCCATTACTTATTTTGTTAACATTAACAATTTATTTTTAATTTTCAAATTATAAAAGGAGATATTGGTCATTTTTAAAATTCTCCCCAAATTCTCGCAATGATTCTTCATATATATATATATATATATATATATATATATATATATATATATATATATATATATATATATATATATGCTACTCTTAGCGCAAAATTCTTGGTAAATACTTCTTTGTCTTGATTGAGGAGGAATTTGAGAAGCAAAAATGACAAGCAGAAGATTATTTGGGATTGAAGATACACTGAATTGTAAGTTTAATATGTTAGTTTATTACATTTTTTTCTTTAGTTGAATGTAAATTACTCATTTTTTATATTTCATTGAGTTCAAACCTTAATGAATAATATATGCAATTTAGTTATTTTAATATGCTAATTGATTGTGTGTAGAGGTTTATACAAAATGTGAATGTAGTGGGTTACAATTTTAATCTAAATTGTATTTTTATGTATTATTGTATTTTGTTGAAGTTCTTTTTATCATCCTATCGTGACGTTGGTTTTAGGTTTAGTGGAAGTTGGGTATATAAGATAATTATCTTTATTGGTCTTTAGATGTAGCAAATAATGAAAAAAGAACATATAATTATCTAGCCTCCACCAATTACACTACTACAGAATTCACATATAACGTCGGGCTTTTAATGTTGGCTATATACTTAGCCGACGTTAAAGCCTAATTTAATTTTTATTTTATTTTTATAAAACCTATAACGTCGGCTATTAACAAATAGCCAACATTATAAATAAAAAGTAAAAAAATAAATACAATACGAAGTCGGCTATTTATCTAGACGACGTCGTAGGTGAATTTAGTTTTTTTTTTTTAATATTTCATATACCACGTCATAGCCGACGTCGTATATTATTAATATATGTATCAATCTTGTTATCTTCACGGGGAGTGACATTTACTTGAATCAATCTTGAAGATTGGACTTAAATAATCCTGAAAATTGGGTTATGAAGACCAACAACGTAACTGTACTCGTTTTCCTTTGATTGATTTTTTATATAATTTTTTAATTAAAGTTTAACGAGGCTGCTAGTGCAACACATGAATGCATACATATCATGTACTCTTTCTCTCACTAGGTTTTTTCATTGAGTATTTTTAGTGAGGTTTTAATGAGGCATGAGTATGATATAGTAATGTCTAAAGATGATAGTTGCAAATAAATATTTAAATAGACAAACCCCCAAAATTATGAAGATTATGTCCTAAAGCCATCTGGTTGTACTATTTTTCCCTTAGCTAAGTTTTTCTCCCTCTAATTTTTTTAGGCTAAGGATTTTAACGAGGCAACCGGTATAATACCTGATTTTACATACGACCTGTACTCTTTTCATCAGCTAAGTTTTTCCCACAAGAGGTTTTCTAACGAGGTTTTTACCGAGACGTGAGTATGAATTGATAATGACAATTGACAAAGGATGAGTATTGTAAATATATACTTATTTATAACCATTATCCCACTATCCCTTTATTAGCGTTGGTTATATGCATTACCACCTGATGCATAAAGATGGGCAGTTATCAATAAAAGATGTGGTTTTGATCAGTTTTCTCTCTTTGCTTTCTCCGTATTCTTTCTCTATTCGGATCCCCTACTCTCTTCTTTATCTTCATATTCATATGTACTTTGCCTTTAATTTGTCGTATAATACTTGCAAATCACGACGTTACCATCTCAGAAGTCAGAGCTAGAGTAGGTCGAACTCGCAATATATTTGTTATGGAGCTTTATGTAAGAAATTAATTAGGCCCTTGAACTTTAAAAATTACAATTAAATTTTAACTTGTTATTTTAGTGCATCTAAACCCATTTACCGATTAGTCAATTATTCACCTAGAATAATTGGTTATTAGGATTCCGGTGACGTGTGAACACTAGCCGAGTGCCATTGCCACTAAAGAAGAAGGCAAGTACCCTCATCCATCCATGCTGGGAGGGAGGGACAGATCATATATATTGAGAGATTGAACCAATCTCTATTAAGAGAATAGAGACTGCCAAACATCTCATCTGATCTAATCTGCAACAATAAGCTAATATGAGAAATATCAGTAAGCTATTATATTCCACTGTATTGTACTGGATGGTGATTATGCCATGCCTGCCATAAATTGTTTTAGTTCAAACATGCATTATCTTTTCAAATTGGGAGTAGACCCACCACCTATATTTGTATGTTATATATAGTGGTACAAATACATTTCTTTTTTCTAGATGAGAAAAATATTATTTTGACCCGATTCAAATTGGGAGTGGACCCCTACCACCTATATTTGTATCATAAAATAGCCGACTATTTTTTTCCAACAGTCTTGAACTCTTGATCAAGCAAGAAAACAGTACAAATTCATAGCCTGGTTGGGCTTCATATTCTTTCTTTTGAAATTAAAGTTAGTTCCTACATTATATTGTTTCAGCAAGCTAAGGTAGAGATGGATGAACAGAATACATAGAGAAAAAGCATAGAGAAACAAAACATAATAATATTTTAAAGTTGCCACTCTTCTGTCACTCTGCAACTCGATCTGCTATAATAATAATAATAATAATTAAGACAATAGTGCAACTTAATTCTGTTCTCAAGCTTGGTTGTGTGTGCAGGCAGTACCATGTCCATAAATGAACCTTGCACTCCCTTCTGTATAAACATGAGTCTCATTCTCCAATCTACAAAACAAAACAAAACATATCATCTGATCTTCACAAACAATATAATAATATATGATGTTTGTTAATTAAGAAATGAAATGAATGTTGATCCTTACGAGATCCGGACTGCTTTGCTTAAGGTTGAAGCAGATGAGAAAGTGTTGCCATCAAGATATCTGTTCTCCCCTTTCACTCTCTGCTTCATTCTCTGGTCTAACTCATCCACACTCACTTCAAATGGAGTGTCTGAGGCCTGTACGTCATTTATTATTTTATTCGATCATAATCTTTTAATTAATTTTAAGCAATATAGTTCTCATATTTTCTGAAAAATTAATTAAGGAGAATATAATAATGTTGAATCCTATATATGATTTATGATAGTATGTAGTGGGTTGGGGTACGTACCATGACCCATCCCCATGTGTCAGCATAGGAAGGTATGTGAGCAGAATAAGGCACAACATCTGCATATGCATCTCAAAAAATAAATTTACTGTACTATAGTGTCTATACATTCATCTAATAATTTTGTACAAGAAACAAGGCAACTTAGAAAATTTAATTTAATTTACTTAGTCATATATATATCATGAAAACGCGTGGACTTACATTTGAAAACTTGTTTGAGAGTGTTGTAGATGCAAGAGAAAACCTCAGTGTGGCTAAAGATCCCAGCTGGTCCGGCCTGCCCGCAGTATATACTATCTCAGTCAAGATGGATAAGGAATAATAATAATTTAATGTTTCGTATAGTAGTAGTTTATGATACACACATACTGTACTGAGTGCTAATAATTAATTATTGCTTAATTATTAATTAATTAATGACCTGAGTGACAAAGATGCCACCCTGATTGAGCTTTGGTCTGACAGTGGTTTGATAAAAGGATTGGGTGTAAAGCTGGTAGCAAGGCCCTCCTTCAATGGGGTCTGCTAAGTCTCCTATGATCACATCATAACCCTCTTCTCTGCTTTCAAGCTCAGCCCTGCATGCATGCATGTATGTATATATACTTACTTTCATATATATATATATATATAATTACACCCAAAATGTAATTTAATATAATATAATGGAATTGAAGGAACCTGGCATCATTAATGACAAGATGAAGTCTTGGATCAGAAAAAGCTTCCCTGTTAACCACCAAATAAGACTTGCAGAAGTCCACAACCTCCTGCATATATCATATCATATCATGGAACCAATTAACAACTTCAATAATTCATATGATGAATTCAAAAGATCATAACATAGTAATTAATTATATTGGAAGATCAGATCAGAGGAACTAAGTAACTAATTAACTAACCTGATCAATGTCACACATGACAACCTTATTAATTGTGTTGTGCCTCAGTAACTCTCTGGCAGTAGAACCTTCACCACCTCCCATGATGAACACACTTTTGGGACTGCAAATAACCAAATTATTAATTATATTCTGAATTGAATATAATTAATGAGCACAATAGAAATTAATTAATAATATATATATATATATATACTTTGGATGATGAAGCAATGGTGGATGAACAAGGCACTCATGGTAGATAAATTCATCAATTTCAGCACTCTGCAGCTTTCCATCAATCACCAGCGCCTGTACGTTTAAATTAATAATTAATAATTTGAAGCTAAGCTAATTGTGATTTTCTTTTACTGGCTAGGTTGTAATATTATTGGAAATAATAATTAATTTATGAGTTTAAACAAAACGAACTAACCTTTCCAAAGGGCTTTGTGTCCAGAAGCTGAATGTCCTGATACTGACTAGCTCCTGTGTGCAGTATGCTGTACGTATATATATGTGCCAAAAACAATTATATATTCCATGTTCCAACCAAACACACTCTTAATTTGTTCAAAGTAGAGAGAGAGTGTGTGTATTTGTTGTTGTTTATACTTTGATGGACCGATGTTTCAGAACATGTAGAGAAATTAAAATATATAAAAAATACTAAAGTAAATAAACAAAAGAAGAAAGAATTAATTTGACGAATGAATAGTAAGTACAACAGGCAAAACTTGACAAGGGAATACCTGTTAAGAGCAAAGCACCATCTCAAGTCGGTATCAATCTCCTCTTCATACCAACAGCTCTTTCTTTGCCCTCCCACTACACCATTCCCATTCCCATTCCCGGGGAAAGCTGCATCAACTTCACCCATTTTTCTATCTAATCTTCAAGATTTTATTTTATTTTAATTTGCACACTAAACTTAAGCTAAGCTAAGTGTGCTGTGCTATGCTGGGTTGTGTGGACAAAATTTGATAGCTTGGAGGGGCTATATATAACAACGGGGAAGGGTACTACACGTGGATTACACGTACACTAGCTACACCCTACAAGTTTAGTACTAGTTATCATATTATTTTAAGTTTCCTAGAATATAATATCTAAGAGCCGGGATAAAATGCTTCTTTAGATTAGAGCAAGTCACATTTGTGTTTTTGGAAAGAGTTTTTACAGGAACAAAAAAGATTGAGTGTAAGTTTTTAGACTAATGGGGGTGGAGTGTTTTATGGTATTTTTTTCTCTTGCAAGTAACACATTTTTGTGCAACCCACTTACTCAATCATGTCTAGTTGGCGCATGCACTACTCGCAGAACATTATGCAAGGTGGGCACGGTTTCATATCCATAATTTTTATGTTGTAGATTCATAATTTTTATACTGTAGATCCATAATTTCTATACTGTAGATTCATAATTTCTAAATCGTAGATTCATAATTTAAATACAGTAGATTCATAATTTATATACTTCAGATTCATAATATATGTACTATAGATTCATAATTTCTGTACTGTAAATTAATAATTTCTAAACTGTATAGTTATCAAATTATGAACATATAGTTCTCTGATTTGTGAAAACAGAGTTCAACAATTGGAATCTAAAGTATAAATTTTATGAATCTATAGTATATAAATTATGAATCTACAATATAAAAATTATGAATTTACAATATAGAAATTATGGAATGGAACTGTGCCCACCTTGCAAGGGGGGCACGTGCTCACAACATAATTTGCCCACTACTCGCTAGCTGGGTGCGCAAATTGCTTTGGTTTTCTGTTAGATTTTTCTTTCTTAAAAATCGATAAAAACCAAACAAATGAGGTTACTCTATTTCTTAGTTTTTTTTTCTTTATTACTACTGACTCTGTCATAATGGAAGAACAATTTCATGTTACTAGATCACAAAATCTCTAACTTGTTACTGTTACAAAAATGTATACTTTTATAATATATATATATATATATATATATATATACCTTTTATAAGTTAACATTTTAATCGTTGTAACGTACAGGGACGGAGGGAGAGGGGGGCAGGGGGGGCGACTTCCCCCCCTCACCCCACCCCCACCCCCAACCCCACCCCATATAGTATTTGTATGTATATATGTATATATAGTACATGTTTTAGTATTAGTATAAAAAAATTATAAAATGTTAACAAGAAGTGAGTTAGAGTAGGTGGTAGAGCATATCTTTGGTAATAATGAAGTTAAGGGTTCCAATCTTAGCATCAACATAGTTTTACAATTCTTTTTTAATAGCTTTTTTTAATATTACACACACACTCTATAATAAGATGTGTAATTTATATTGTGTTTTCTATTCAAATTATTTTAACATATTTTTACAATTCTTTGTTAATAGCTTTTTTAATATTACACACACACTCTCTATAATAAGATGTGTAATTTATAATGTGTTTTCTATTCAAATTATTTTATTAATTATGTTTCATATTTTGTTAAGAATATTTTTATAAGGTTTCAATGTATTTTATTTTTCGTCCATATCCAACAATATTTACAATTATATTTCTTAGGTAGTTTATTTATTTATTTTTAAATTATCTCTTTTATTTTAATGTTTCGCCTTTTCTGAAAATTTTTTTTGAATCCGTCTGTACTGTTTCGCCCCCCTCAACCGAATTTTTAGCTCCGTCCCTGGTAACCGATGATAATGATGCCTAGCTACTCCTATCTCAAAAACCTCACACAAATGATGCCTACTCCTAAGCTACCTCCCACAAATGATAATGATGCATGCATGTTTATATGGAGAGTAATATAATAGCGTGGAGGGCGGTATGAAGGCATCATAATCGTGGCCATATATCATATGTTGTGTATTATTACGAAAGTAAAGAAGAAACGAAAAAAAAAAAAACAAAAATCAATTTGGATATTTGTGAAAAAGATTGTGTAAACTACAACTTTTACGTCATCAAAATATATAAGAGGTAAAAAGGTCATTCAAGGTGGTGTGATGTTTGAGGATGATTTCCTCGCGTGCATTCGCAAACGTCAAATGAATTACACCACGTATGCATGCCATATTTTATAATACCCTTAACTCCCACTATTCAAATATTTAATTTTAATATCATAAATAATTAAATGGTCCGGTCTTAAACAATGTGAGAGGTGATAGGTTGAAGCCTCAGTGAAAACATTAGATGTGATTGGGTATCTCACTTCCTATAAATAAATAAAAAAATAATAATAATAATGCATGCCATATTTTAACTTACTTTTCCTATACTATTCAAAACTTGTATTTCTACTAATATATATATATATATATATATCCAATTGATTATACAATACCCTTGTTTGGTAAAATAGTTAGTCTATTAGTTAATTTTGACTTGTTCGACTTGGTTAAACAACCAATAATATAAGTGTTTGGTTAATTAGCTTTTTGTAACAACTTATTGTTTTAAAATATTAAAATTTAAAAAGCTGCTTAAAGCAGCTTTTTTTTTATTCTTTTTGAAAAAAAATCATTTTACATATAATTAGTTATCAGCTAACAGCTAGATGTTATACAATGAGTCAATACTATTAACTAATCAAACTCACTAACTCAATTAGCTAACAACTATTTACCAAACACTCCCATAATATTTTCAATGTGATTTACCTTTAATGTGTAATTTGTGTGCTATTATCATTAAAAAAAAAAAAAAAAAAAACATTTTTTTTCGTGTTTACAATGTCAATGTTGCATTTTTAGTCTACACTTACTGTACTTTTATATAATAAAAAGGAAAAAATTATAATTTATGCCCTTTATTTTTCTTTCTTCATTTGTTCTCCCTCCGTCGACAACAATATTTCTACTCCTTCTTCCTATTAAGGAATGAGCAATATATGTCACATTTTAAAAATTAAAAGACAATATTTATACTATTAATAATTCAGGAGTAACATTGATAATTGACATATTTGTAGAAGGTATAATTTTTCTTATAATAAAAATATTATGAAAGTGCTAAAATGAAATACAAGTATATTGTAAATAGTGCAAGTATCATCAATTGATCGAGTTAGACATATATAAAATGAAATAAAGAGTGTAATAATTAGAGAGCTTCTAGCGTATCTTTTTGTAAAAAAACGAAATCAAAAGCTGAGATATATTTGTCACATACAACTTTATTTTCTTGTGATTTTTTTTTTTTTTGAAAACTTATTTTCTTGTGATTAATATGACCAAGTACTTTAACTTTTTGCACATTTGAGAAGAGGAATTACAAATAATTTTTTTTTTTTAAAAAAAAATGGTAATTTTTTTGGTGTAAACTACTTTCTCTGTGTGGTCCACGCGACTAATCCCCGTTCGCTCCGGAGGGGCACGGGAGCTAAGCCAAAGGAAATCGTCACTTGTGGGAATCAAACTTGAGTTATCCCGGAATTCACCTTCACAAAAAGAGCTCATTTGCCACTTGAACTATCCTGTTGGGTTTAAAAAAAAAAAGGAATAAGGTTCAAATTGGCCACTGAACGTAACCTGAAAATGCAATTAGGCCACTGAACGAACAAAAAGTGCAATTAGGCCACTGAACATTCCAAAAACGTGCAATTAGGCCACTGAATTCTCCAAACGTATGCAATTTCACCGGATAGCAGGTTACCATCAATTTTAGCAGGTTACCTGCTTACGTGGCAGCTGAGTTGGCATTTTTAATAATTTTTAAATAATTTTTAATTAATTTTAATAATAAATTTTATAAAAAATTGAAAAATAAATTAAATAAAAAATAAAATAAAGGCGTTTTTATTTTTTAAATAAAAATTTATTATTAAAATTTATTAAAAATGATTTAAAATTTATTAAAAATGCCAACTCAGCTGCCACGTAAGCAGATAACCTGCTATCAGGTGAAATTGCACATTTTTAGAGTGTTCAGTGGCCTAATTGCACTTTTTTTTCGTTCAGTGGCCTAATTGCATTTTCAGGTTACGTTCAGTGGCCAATTTGAACCTTATTCCAAAAAAAAATGGTAATAATAATATACGAAAAGATACACTCAATCTGATGTTTGCAGTAGATATCAAAGTTGATAATGAGAAGAAAGATTTTAGAGGCCGGTGAAGAAGACAAGATGATGGCAGAGCACTTATGCAGGAAACATGCCAGCAGCCAAGCACAAGACATAATATAATAAAATATAATATAGGACGACATTTAAGAGCACTTAGATTGTATCATTTGAAATTGTTTCTCTTTTACACTTCAGGGGAAAGACAAAGAGTAGTTCAAACATAGAATGATTGTTTCATGAACATGGGAATTGAATAGTGGGTAATGGATGGGGTGACAAATACCAGAAAATTAGGGCTTCACGTCACTATATATATATTTATTATATATTTTCAGAAACTTGTGCAAAATCTTGGTTGGACTCTGAGAGAGATAGAGAGAGAGGCGTGCAATGGGAAACATCATTCACGCAAGTCTGGCTATGCTCAAAAGATGAAAACTGGCGTGCTTAGCCGAACCCCCTCATCATCACTACCATCCCCATCCTCATCCCCATCCCCATCCCCATCCCCATCCCCCTATTTAGGGCCGTTTCAATAAAAATTGCGGCCCTATACTATGTAATATCTTAATTGGAGATTTTTTTCAAGTAATTTATATATATAAATAATAATTGTTCAAAAAGATGTATCAAAATATAAATATTGTATAAGAAAATAAATCTAAAATTTCATTTAAAAAAGTGACATGCACCGTGCACATTTAGACGCAAAATCATTTACCGAACTTTTGATATCAACTTCTTCCAAAAGCTCATTTTCAATGGAGATTAAAGTTATTCCATTGAGTCTTTAATTTTTTGCAACACACTTTATCGTAATTAATATTTCAACAATTTCAACTTTCAAAAACTCCTTTATGCAGCGCAACATTAATTGGATAGTCAATAATATTCAATATGCAATACTAGCA